GGCACTTGTCCTTAAACTCCAAATCTTTGTCGAAGAGAGAAATTTTTAATTTTAATGTGGATAAATTCCCCCCTTTGGATGCTGTGGTTTATGATTTTTGGAATTTCTGCATCATTCTCCTGAATCTCCTACATGCCAGATCTTTACTGGACACAGCAGTTGCTGAGATGGACAGGACGCAGCTCCTGCCCTCAGGGAGCTCTCAGTCCAACAAGGAGCAGGGATAAGGCTCAGGAAGATACGATTCCCTACAAGGGTGGCACATGGCACAGGTGGCTGATTCCATGCTGCCCAGCAGAATCTAGGCAGAATATCTGGAAGTGGGGAGAGCATCTGGGCTGAGCTGTGATGGGCCAGCGGGAGGGAGCTGAGCAGAGGGGAGAAGAAGTATTTCCTGTGCAGTGACCTATTACATGTGACCTGGGCCTCTTGGGGACTTAGCTCTTACCCTTGTGCCAGTTTGCTTAAGGTAAGGGACAAACCTGTCCCTGGAAGGTTATTATAGCCCTGGAGCATTTGACAAGTGTCTACCAGGCCTGTTAAAAATCTCAACACAGGGGCTGAGGAGATAGCTCGGCAGTCTAAGCGCCTGCCTGACAAGCTCAAGGACCTGAGTTCAATCCCCAGTACTGCATGCTGTGCTGGCCCCTAAACCAGGTGTGGTAGCACACACCTGAAACCCCAGAGCTGGTGAGGCTGAGACAAACGGATCACTATGAATCTGAACTGCATAGTGAGACCCTATGTCAAATTAATTAATTAATTTTTAAAAATCTCAGCACAGTGCTCAGTGAACTCATTTAAAATGCTGTTGGTGACAATAAAGAAGAATGGGTGTTCAAAATCCAGCCAAAAAAGGACATAGTCCGTCTCTGTTCTGAGCAGCTAAGATGTTATGAGGAGGAACATTGGTTCTGCAGGGCTGGCTGGGGCACTGGCTAGGTCAGGTGGAGTGAGAGTGAGAATCCTTCCTGAGGAGTGGCTGTTTGCCCTGGAGAAGGAAGAGGAGCCAGGGCCCATGGTCACCCTCTGGCCACTGTGTCCTCTCCTGAAGGCTGGTGAAGAGCATGTGTCAAAGTGAGGTGGGGCTCCAGGGCAGAGTCAGGACCTAGAGAGCATGTTGCAGGAGACAGGTTTCAACTTAAAGTAAAGAAGACCCTTTCATGCAGTGGCAGAGCCCCAGGATGAGGACTGGAGGCCACAGACTCTCCCATCACACTCATGCAGCCAGAGGAGGGTGGAGACGGGCTTCTCCGGTGCTGCTCATGAGGTGTAGCAAAGCCATGCTAGCCCCGTGGCCTGTCTCTCAGCTCAGAGCTGTCTCCTGGGCTTGAATACCAGACTTTCCCTGGGAGTCCTGGAGTCGAGTAAATTTATAGAATCTTTGATTTTATTGAGCCACAATCATCTTTTGTTTACACCCAAGTGTAGGCTGAGTCTGTGTGTGTTGTTGTTCTTGCTATTGCTAACAATTAAGCTTTAAAGCATATATCCTCCTCCCTCAGATCAGCGCCAAGGCCAAGTGAGAATGGGCATTTAGGGGAGTGGGGATATATCCTGTGCCACAGGGTGTGGGTGCTGCTGAAGCAGAAGGCTGGCAACCTGCTTGTCTTCCTACTTGGGGGATGCAGCTGAGGAAGGAGGCAGAACCCCTCTCTGGCTGACATCCTTGTCCACCTGTACGAGGGACTCCCCAAGGTCCGCAGCCAGTATTGGCCAAATTTTCACCAATAGGACCTATATTCTTTACATATGCAAACCCAAAATTCAAAATGAAGACTCTACTTTTTAAAGAGAAAACTTGCTTTTGCACCGCAAGGAGGAACTAGTATCATTGAGCAGCAAAAAGTGTTCTTTATTTTATGATAGTTTTCACCTCTGAGAAGCAGAAAGTCTCCACATTGAAAGGTCCTTGGTGAAACTCAGTGAGTGCTAGTTCTGGCAACACATTAGGGTCAGTGTAGGGAACTTTTAACAATACTGCCACCCTAGAACCACCCCTCACTTCTCTCAAGTTGTAATGCAATGGCTCTAGCATGTTGGGACTTGGGCATCTGTATTTTCTAGAAGTTCTTGGGTGACTCTAAGGCCCAACTGAGGCTGAAAAACCACTGCAAGATTTCAGTGCAATGTAGAGATGGAGGAAGAGAGGCCCAGAGAACGGCAAGAGCCAGTCACACCTAAGCCAGTGCCTATCAGCAGCAGGGACCACGTGGCAGGGAGCCATACAGGGACAACCTAATGCCAGATCTCCCCTTGCTCCAAATCCCAGTACTGATCATCTTTCCAGGCAGAGCACATGTCCCCTGGCCCACAATCTCTGGTCTGCCTGGCCATCCACATCCAAATAGTTAGTTCATGCTGTTTGCATGATGTCATTTGCAAGGTGCCAGGACATACCAGGTAAATGGAAGAGTAAAGTGGGCATCACCCTTCTCTCTGTGGGCCCTTGCCAGAGTGAAAGGGACAACACAGGATGACAGAAGCAAAACTTAAGGTCCCATTCAGGAACTCCCTGGCCAGCAGGAGTCAGAATACCTGAACACATCCAGCACAGAGCTCCAATACAAGGAGCTATGATCCAGCACTGAGTCTACAGTAACCAAGACAAGTAAAGGGGACAGCAGTAGCTAAGGAAAACTTCCTGGAGGAGGTAGGTAGGCCTGGACATATTGATTTAGTATAGAGAGGGAAAAGCTGCCTCCAAGTGGAGGGTGGCCATGAGAAGCAGATGGCAGTAAGAAAGCACAGTGTTTACAGACATAGCAAATAACTCGGAGTTAATTTTATCATGAATATAGCAACTGTAGTAGATTGTACGCTTCCTGTTAGGTGAGCTGCAAGTGAGGTACTTGCCTATCTTCTCCTTATGTAACCCTCTGAACATCCTGGAAAGTTCTAGATTTTAATAAGAGAGATACAAGAGTAGAAGTTCTGACCTATTTTTCAAATCTTTAACCAGCTCCCAGGATAGACCCTGACACAAAGCAAGTGACCAATAGCATTTGTTGGGTGAGTAAATGAAGGAGTTAAACCAGAGGACTTTGCATAACATCCCATTAGCATCCAGGTTGTCCACAGTCCAGGGTGTAAAAATAACTTTAACCTTCTACTGCCTCTAACGTTGCTGTTGAGGGATTCTTTATGATATAAAACCTTGGGCTCAACCTCACATGCAGGAAGCTCTCAAGAAATGTCAACTAGATGACCAACATCCCTGCTCAGTAGCAGTAGTAAAAGCCTGCTGAATTCAGAACCAGGAGACCTGAGTTCAGGTGCCTGCTCTGCAGGACTTAACCTTTGCAAAGCCTTTCCTTCCTCTAGAGACTGGAGGATAATACCTGGTTGATTCAAACTTTGCAGTGAACAGAACTTATAAAGCACCCAAGTGCCTTCAAGTACTGCCCCCAGGGAGCAATTATGGTGATTATGGTTGCCGTGGGAAGTTAAGTATTATTCTGGTGCCACAGGACAGTACACAGAACAGGGCCAGTGAGTCAGAGGGGCGGGCAGTATGGCTGCGATGCAGTAGGGCTCCATTTTCCAGGTCCCGATGATTTATTCCCATCAGTCTGCATATTTCATGTGCTGCTCCCCACCCCAAATAAATAAATCAGGGCCAGCTCTTCTGAACAGCAGAAGCTGACTGGGGCATCTGCATGGCTGAAGACTTCAAAAGGCCAGAGCAAGATGCTGGAACTCCCGGCAGTGTGTGCTAATGTGACATTTAGGTGTGGAGTAACCTAGGCAAGAAACAGCTGTCTGCACAACGCGATATCTGCAAATGGCAGGGAGCCTGGCAGGGAGAAGGAAGTGACTTTTACAGGCCCCCCTGTAAGAGTCCCTAAAGTCAGGGGAAGTGGGCAGAAGAGGCTTAGGGGATCCCCTGTCCTGTTCTCTGAATGTTTATAAAGCAACAGTGATGCCCCTGCATTTCTGCACAGGAACTCATTCCATGCCACAGCCGAGCAGTCTCTCTGGGTGCCCACTTGGAATATTTTTATCAGCTCTGGACATTTTGCTGGTCTGGTCTGCAGCTCTGGGGACCAGCCTGAATTGTGTGTGGACCCTTTCTGTGACATACAGTGGACTCTGCTCTCCAAAACTGTTATATTCAGGAGGCACCAGTCCTGTACTAAAATAGCAAAATACCTAAGGCTGGGTGCTTCAGAAAGAAAAGAGGTTTGTGTAGCTGGAAGTCAGAGAGCACAGTGCCAGTGCCTCCACAGCTCTGATGAGGGCCTCATGCCGATGGCACCATCGTGAGGGGAGCTCATGGGAGGGTGACAAGCAGTACATGGAAGAGAGATTCAGGGAGCGGCCAGAGGTCCCTCTACCAACCACCCTTACGGCAACTGACAGGGTCCCTTTGGGACTACATTAATCCCATCAGAGGGTAATGTCTCCAGTGGCCTAACCAACTCCACACTGCCACTGAGGACATGAAAGATGCTAATTCCAACTAAGAAAGAAGTCATAGGACTACGGTGTCCATCATGGCTAAAGCACACTGCTCCATTCTTGGGTCTATACCATCAGATACAATGGTGACATCATGTGGTGTAACCCAAGGAGAGGCCCAGCTAGGGTGGGAAATAGAAATGAAGTTCTATAGAGAGAGGCTGAGGCTGGGACCATGGGATGACATGTTTATGTCTTTTAGCTGTGGAGTTATCCTGAGACAGGAGAACAGAAGTCATTCCTTGGTCCTGAGGGCAGAGCTCAGAGGAAAGGTGCAGGGTGAAAGTTCAGCTCAACAATCAGCAAGACCTTGGTGACAGGAAGAGTCCAGCCTGGGGAGAGAGATGTTCTCCCCACCCTCGAAGGAGAGGAGGCTTCAGCCCACCTGAGTTGGAAGCTTGGTGATTCCACCTGAAAGGGGTGGTAGAGAAAGGAGCCTTCAAGAATGCATGCGAGGGGTACAAGGGACAGGACCTCCAACAGGAGTCCCAGACACAACCCAGTTCCCCTATAACTGGCCCCTGTCTCTTGTCTCACAGATAGCAGTGAAGTGAAGGTGGGAGAGTACAATGCTGTGGCTGACACATTGGAAATCATCAACGACACCATCAGGTTCCAAGGTAAGGCAGGTGGGGACTGGGGGTAGCACAGAATCCTTGGCCTTGGGGCTCAAGGGAGCATCCTCAACACATCCACCCACTCGCTCACTGGACCCAGGGTGCAAATCACTCCCTTGGGTTCCAGCTCCTATGACAGGTTACTGGAATTTACATGGAATGCTCACCAAGGTGTTTAAACTACTGGATGGCCAAGAGTCATTGTTTCCCAGTGTGGCCTAATTACATTTAGCTCCATCTCATCCTCAAAGAGATCTGGTTGGGTTTGCAAAAGGGTGTCTCTCTCTCTCTCTCTCTCTCTCTCTCTCTCTCTCTCTCTCTCTCTCTCTCTCCCTGATGCTCTTCCTGAAAGCCATTCCCCTCTCCTGCTAGAGAGCTCCTCCTCGGCTTGCAGATCAGTTTCGATACTTCCTCTGTGCAGAAGTTCTTTCACTAACCCCCAATTGAACTAATGCCCCCCTTTTGTCCACTTCCACAGTCCTTTTCACTGCCTCTCCTATGGCCACTCCTGTTTTACACTGAAATTATTAAATGACTGAGCCACAAGCCCTTGTATGGGCCCTATGCTATTTTAGATTCCCTGGCATCAGAGTCTACCACATGTTTGGAGGCTTGGTGATATTTGATGAAAAAACAAATACATGATTGATCAAGTGGATGAGTAAGTGAATGGATGCATGAATGGGTGGGTGGGTGGGTGGATAATGGATGGACAGATGAGAAGCCTACTTTAAATGGCAATAGAAGCTGCCACAACCAAGACCCCTCGATGCTATCGCTTTGGTTCCACTAGGTAGCAGTAAAAGGGACAGCTAGTTTTCTATGCCTGGAGTTCCTTCTTAATTCATTCACCAGAGTTATGTGGACTCTTTGGTTAGCTTTTGTCACGTTACTACGTACCACTGGGCTTATGAGCTTCTGAACGTTGTAGAACAGTCAGTCTTTCAGAATGGCTCCTGAGCATGGTCTCCACCCTCTGCTGGGCCTTCCTGCCCTGCCTGGGGGGGCCATTACCAACCACAGTTACTTATTACTTCATGGAGTCGCAGAAAGTTCCTAAAAAGTGGGCAGCAAGCCCCATCAGTCCTGTTGTACAGCTGAGAATGTAGCTCAGAAAGCATGTCACCCCAAATTCACACAACCTGTAAGAGGTACAGCCTATTCTAACCACCTAGGATCTGATCTCCAAGGTAGGCCTGTCTACTCCTGCATTCAGGCAATCAGAGTTTACTGGACAAGAATTCTGGCTTTAGCAATTGAAGGAAAGCTCTCAATGCAAAACACACATATAACTGAGAAGGAAACAAATTTCAGATGGGGAAGCACGAAAATAAAAGCAAGGACAATGGCTGAACACTGTCAGGACACCAAGCCCATTGCTGACTGCACTCCGACCCTGCCATCCAGGCCCACTTTCTACTTCTCAGTCCTCACCCACTGCCTGGAGAGGGAACCCAACACCAAGTCAGGACAGCTCTGGATGCAAGGCAGATCCCAGCCCCTGCCCACACCTCTGCCTGGGCCCAGCTCTGGCCTCTCCTGCCCAGACTCCATCATTCATACCCACAAGTTTTCCCACACCTGCCTTATCCCTTCAAGTCCTTTTTGCCTTCAACAATCAAAGTTGGCAGTGCCTCACCTTTCAGAACCCTGCCTGATTCCCACTGCTGTCAGTGAGGTCTTGCTACACAATATGCCTCCCAAGGCCTCCTTGAAGGGACCCCTTCCTATTTTTCTGTCTCCACTCTCATGTATCTCTAGCCAAATTGCTTGTAGTTCCTTGATGTCCAGACACCTCTGTGTCCTTAGCCCAGAACATCCTTTTCTACTTATCTTCCTGCTGACAGGAACAACCCTTCTGGGCTCCAAGACCACTCCAATATCCTCTCCTTTCCCAGCCTCTCCTGCCCATTGAGGGGAGCTTAGTTTGCTCTCACTTGGTGCTAAGGCCTTCCGGTGCCTCGAGTCATCACACCACATGGGCTGGTCTGTGGAGGCCAATCATCCAGTGGTTAGAGCGCAGACATCATAGCTAGGTGGATCTGGGTTCATATCCTATATCAATTCCTAGCTGTAGAAGCCACTTAGCACCTAGAAAATTATTTCCCCACTATAAAATTAGAATGGTCTTATCAATACATGAAGCTGGTAGAACAAGTGAAAAATTTCTAGACTGTATTGTCTTTAGCTTTAGAATATATATATATATATATATATATATATATATATATATATTCTATGCCTATTAGTGTCCATACTCTCTCTATTATCCCATAGTAATCTTCAAATAAATATGAGTGCTTATCATGGCTTTTTCTTCTGTCTAAATTCCCTGAGGGCAGGGCTATGTCTCATTCATCTGACAGGTGAAGGGGAACTAAATGAACAAATGGTGTTGAGTGGATGAGTAAGGAATGACCAGGCCAAATGAAAAGCAAGAAACCTTAAGACTGTTGCTGCTGCTGGCACACCTGAACCTCCATGACCATTTGACTCCCATGATGCCTTGGTTGATTCCTGGTGGATGCACCATTTTGAAGAGAGGAAAATTGGAATAAGGAGGAAAAGATAGTATCAGTTTCCTGGAGTTGTTTCTAAGTAACAGACTACAAACTTACTGGGTCATATAATCTTTGACCCAAACCTCGCTCCCCTTCTCAGTGCCTGGATGAGGGCTTTATTCCAGGCAAGAGCCCCAGGGCTGCTGTTGCATTTCCAAGTCAGAAATACTCTGTATTAATGATTTTCTCACTGCTGGGACAAAATCCCAGATGCCTGCAAATGGAAGGAGAGGTTCATTAGGCTCACAGTTTTAGAGTGTTTAGTCCACAGTTAGATTGCTCCAAGCAGAAGTGACATGGTGGCAAGGCAGGCCTAAGGAAGCTGCTCACCCTAAGGCAGCCAGAAAATAAAGAGAAAGAAGGGAAGAGCCAGGGACAGGAAATACCTTTGGGGTCACAGCCCCAGTGACTCGCCTCTTCAGACCAGACCCACCTCTAAAAGGCACATTCAGATATGACTGAATCCAGGATTGAGTACCCCAGTGATCCATTAACCTTGCCAAAGCCTTGCCGCCGAACACATGAGACTTTTGGAGGATGCTTCAAAATAAACCAAAACAGCCTCTCAACAAGCATCAGGCAGGCTAGGTAAATGGAACACAGCTGGGAGAGGAAAAGTTTCTGAATGTTAAACTCTCGCTTCTGGAAACAAACTACAATGCTATATGAATGAACCTTAAGTCTGCTTTAGCTCTGATTTTTTTCCATTGAAACTCTTATTATTACTGTTACTTTCCACAGGCTGTGTTCAAACCTGAAACTAGCCAACTTCCCTAGATTTCTTAGATGGTACAAACTCTTCTTATCCACTAAATGTTTCTAAACACAGAGGTTTTATAGTACAGATGTTTAGTCACATTCTCCACCCCCATTGTCCCCACATCTGCCCATCTTCCATCTGTATCCTGGGAATGAAGGCATTACTAGCCTGATGCCCATGAATTGGGGATGGGGTCATCCTAAACCCTTGTGCGGCTCCAGGACTTCCAGCAATGAATCCCTGCATCTAGCAGATTCCATATATTCCCACTAAAGAAAAAAAAAAGTTTCACAGCTCCACAGCAAAATTCAACCTGAAATAGCTAAGAGAAAAGACATTTTTAGGAAGTTGGGGGCAGTGTCTCTACATCCTTCACTCCAAACCAGACTGTGCCAGGCCTAACTAAATCAGGGCAATTTTGCAACCTTGCAGGGAGATGTGTTTGCTCAGAGATTCTTGGGCACCACCAGGTCCCACTGCCCTTGAAGAAGGAGCAGGGAACCTTTCCAGGCACAGGGTGAGATGGAACCCCACGGCTTTCTTCCAGCCCTAGAACAGCAGGAAGAAAAGGTAGCTTCCACCTCCTACAGCTAGCAGACTTAGGGAAAAAGAAAACCAAAGAGCTTTTATAACAATGACCTTGAGGCAGAAAACTTGCAGCCAAAGCACATATATGTCACCCTAGAATTGACAAGCAGGGTGCCTGCCTTGTTTAGGGAAGATCATTTATTGCGTATGAGTAGGAACAGACTCCTTGAGGCCAAAGCCAATTCCTTACCCTTGATGCTAATTGGTCGCATCACCCAGCCCTGTGCCTTCCAAGATGTTGTTACCTTTGGGAATGAATGGTGATGGGTTTTCAACAGTGTAATTAGACCAAATCAAATTCTAGTCTTCTAATGGCTATTAAATGCATCACAAATCCCTTATTGATTCTATTTGGAGAAGGAAATAAGACCTGGCTCAGACTCCCTGCTGGGCAGACTGGCCAACAACTGGATCTGGCTCACACAGCAGCTAGATGGGCCTTGCATAGCATTTGTGTCCAGGGGTCCAACCAATGTCAAGGATACCCAGGTACTCTGGGCTCTACTGATGTCTTCTCCTTGACTTTGTAGGATCCGAACCTCCAAAAGACAAGACCATCATCCTGGAGCAGCTGCGGAAGATCTCCCTACCTCTCTACAGCATTCTCTCTGCCCTCACCATCCTCGGCATGATCATGGCCAGTGCTTTTCTCTTCTTCAACATCAAGAATCGGAACCAGAAGTAAGCTGCCCATGTTCTTCTATGGAACATCACATTCTGGATGGACAAACCTTGTGGTCCAAGTGTAGGATCCTCACAAGACTTATTGTCCAAGGACATAGGAGGCTTTAGAGCAGTTTCCTGGACTGTGTTACCTGATCACTGTAATGATTTAAGTATTCTGTGTGCATGCATGTGTGCGCCCGCATGCACACACACAGGGATACTAGTTACACAAGGGAAGGCTGGGTTAGGTAAGTGGGAGGTTCCAAATCCAACAGCCTCCCCAGAGCTTGGGTGTGCCCAGCATGCTGCAGTGTCCATAAGGAGAGATTTAGAAGACAAACTTCCCCAGCTTCTCCAAACCTTCACTGGAGAGAGTCACTAAGTCCAGTGACTGGGACCCCCATTTGTACAACACATAACAGTCCAGGATACCCCTTCCGATGTCATCTTGTTAGACCTCGTGACTCTCCCCATGTTATAGATAAGAGCCCCAAGCTCTGTGGCGGAGGCCTCCTGCACACATGCAGCATGGCCTGCCTCCTTGCTTTCTTGCCTTGGCTTCTTTTCCCCAACACACACCCTCATGTCTCCTAAACGAGAGCCTCACTCAGTTCTATTCAGCGGGGGTAGAACAGGCCACCACTTTGTACCAGTGTCAATCAGGCAGCACCATCTTCTCTGGTTTCCATGGAAGATCCCTAAACCTAGCCCCTCCTTGTCACAGGAGAGGCCAAGCAGGTGCTCAGGCCCACATACACACAGGCCACGGCTCTGCCATCTTGCCCAGAAGTCACGCTGCATCACCCCATAGGCTGCCAGGAATGAGCCCATTCCAAGGGAAACAGTTTTCTTTTGTTTCTCAGTTGCAGATGAGGATGTGGAGGGCTTTTAGACTTCTATGGTCTTTCATTGTGGGGGCTTTTTGAAGCAACTCACTCCTCAAATCTACTTCCTGTAGAACAAAATAAGATTTTGTCCACCTGTTATTTTATTTATCACAAATATTGCAGCAAAAATCTTGAAGCAACATCTGCTTTCTTAGTACGAGCCTTCTGTGATGACCGCTCCAGCTAGCGGAGCACAAGGCCTTGCACTCAGTCACGCATCAGTCAGTGGCAGACTGCCTCCCACACGCCTTAAGAGTTCCCTTCAGCAAGCTGCCCCAGCCACAAGATTCAGCTCTTTTAATTCTGTAATTACCCCTCTTGGCTTCCTGGGGGAAATTACCATTACTCTTTCCAAAAGGCAGATATAGATGAAGTTTTTGACTGCCTGGTCTATTGGAAAATCTGCAGAGATAGGAAATAAATGTTCCTGTGGTTTCACATGCCCATTACTTCTGCCTTCCTAAGCACTGCCCATTCCTAAAAGGCTACGGCCTCCAGGAAAGCGGCCTCACTCAGGCTAGTCCGCTCCTCAGTGTGCTGTGGGAATGAGAGTGAAAGCACCTCCCTGGCTTAGGAAAGCACCTGAGGCCCAGAAGCAATTCAGCTTCATATGGGCCCTCGGTGGCAGCAGCGTGATCAACTACTTTGTGTCCCAGGTGAGGAAAGTGGACCATGTTAAATGACTTGCCAGAGCTATACTGCTACAGGGCGGCAGGGGCTAAGACCCAGACCCAGTGCTTCCAACTCAAAGGCCTGTGTGTAGGCTGGCCCAATAGCTCAGCAGATTAAAGCACCTGCAAGCAGGCTTAGGGGCCGGGGGTTCAAACCCTGAGCCTGCCATGCCAGCCCCGCCCCCAGGGCACACTGAGATAGCAGTTGAGACTGGGCATGGTGGCGTGTGCCTATAATCCCAGCTCTTGGGAGGCTGTAAACAGGTGGATCACTATGAGTTTGATCTAGTAGTGAGACCCTGATCATACTGTAGACCCTTCCCTAAAAAATACGAAGAAAAAAAAGGCCTGTGTGTAGCCCCCCCCCACACACACACACACGCAATGGGCTTAATATTTCCTATGACTTCGACATGTTATATGTTTAAAATGTGAAGGCTCCACAGAATTGCAGAATACAAAGAAAAATGTTCAGGGAACCACTCCCACTATAATTTCATTCTACAATGAGTACCGGGACCCTGGGGTGCCTGAAAACCTAAGACTTTCCGAGCTGATTGTGCTGAGGGAACCAAGTACCTCTGGGTGTCAACCGTAGCCCAGTGAAGACTTAGCTAAGTTCTGACTTTCTGACACCTGGGAGCCACAGCTGGATTCCTGAAAGGAGTGAGAGGGAAGCATGTAGAGACTGAGGCTACCTGGAATGCCCCGTGTGTAGCCTGGGGAAGACAGTGTGGGGGTTGGGATGGGCGCTCCCTTACACACATGAGGTGGGAATGAAAATCCAGAGAGGATGGCAACTGTGCACCATCTCTGAAGTCCTCAGAGGCAGGCAGAGCAGGCACTTACTCAACACCTACCGGGCACATTTCAGGAGCAATCTTAAATCCTCACCTTCTGACCACCTCAAAGTTGTCTGCTGGAGACAGGGGGCTGTGGTATTGGAATCTCCGTCCTCACTGTAGCAGGCCCCTCAACTTCAAAGCCTATTCACTTTGTGCTTTTGCAGTTTGAAAAGTTGGAAAATTAAAACAGATGAAGAAGTCAATGCAACGAGCTATCCCTAGAGAAACAATAGGTGAACCTGACAAAGGAGGCCAGGAAAGCAACAATTAAAAATTTATCAGTTGTCTGGGCCCCTTGATGGAGATAAACAGGCCCACGTAGGTGAGGATGGAGAAGGGGAGGAAACCACAGCTTCTTTTTTTCTCCCCACGTACTCTCAGCAGCAACGCACACACCTAGGAGGCTCTGGGAAACACCTGGCAGAGGAATAAGGCCATAAACATGTCATCTCCCTCTCTCGCCAGGCTGATAAAGATGTCCAGTCCCTACATGAACAACCTCATAATCCTCGGAGGAATGCTGTCCTATGCCTCTATATTTCTCTTCGGCCTCGATGGATCCTTTGTCTCAGAAAAGACATTTGAAACACTTTGCACTGTAAGTGGCTCTGTGAGTGTCAGTGGCATATGATGGAAAGATGCCATGGTGACCCCAGAACTCAGACACAGATTTGGACCCATAGATGTTTGGAAACATGTGGGTAGACAGGAAAAACCCCATTCCGAGCTCTGGACTACATGGGGAGGCATTGTGTCACTTCCAGACTGGAACAAGAACGTAAGCTTTGCCTGTCTCACTAAGGTGCTGGATTTAACAGGCCACTGTGGGAAGACAGCCCCCAAGAAGTGTCTGGATAGCCCAGAAAGGGGAGCAAAGGGGATTTCCACCAGAAACACTTAAGTGCCCAGAGTCAGGGTCAAGGACAAGGTCACTTAAGAGGAGACAAATCCTCCCATCTGCCTGGATAGCTCTCCCAGGGCATAGTCGATGTTCACATGCTAACCTTGAGTTATGTAGAACACTTGCCTTATTCTTTTCTATTTCAATGGTATTTCTCAGTCATCTTTTTTCATTATTGGCTCCCTAAGGATCCCTTTTTGTCTAATCATCCCTCCCATGAAATTTTAATACCAGAGATCTACTGTGTATCTCTCCACATACTGTATCTATGTCTGTGTTTCATACATAAAACAGTGATTTTTTTTTCATATTCAAGAACCAGTATTGAATCAGATACAGGGTAAAAGCCTGTATTCCCAGCTATTTGGGGGAGCTAAGGCAGGAGGATTTTCAGTTTGAGTCCATCCTGGGCCACTTAGCATGACCCTGTTTCAAACGAAAGAAGGAAAGAAAGAAGGAAGGAAGGGAGGGAGGAAGGAAGAGAGGGATGGAGGGATGGAGGGATGGAGAGACAGAGGGATGGAGGGACAGAGGGATGGAGGGACAGAGGGATGGAAGGAGGCAGGGAGAGAGGGAGAAAGCAAGCCAAGCCAAGTAAGCAAGCAAGAAAGAAAGAACTTGAAAATACAGGCTCCCAAGACTATATCATACTCATTGAGGACACATGCATTTAAGGAAGCCCAACACAGTGTAATAAATTTACTGTATTTTTGAAAAAGCAACTAACATTTAAAAATTTTGGATACTCAGAGAAATGCTCTGGAGAGAGAGGGAGGGAGGGAGGGATGGAGGGAGAGAGAGAGAAGGGAAGGGAAGGAAGGAAGAAAAGAAAGGAAAGAGAGAGAGAGAGAGAGAGAG